TTTTGGTCTGAAAGTGTAGGTTGTAGGGAAGGAGGAGTGCTCTTGCCTCACCCTGTACTGCTGGGTGTCCCGCGGCTGGGAGGCTGCTCTCATCTTGGGCCTGGGGCTTCCTCTGCACCCATCCTGCCTCACTGGGCCCTGTCCCACCATGGAGAAATATGAGGTGCTGTCCTAAGGGCCAGGCCCTGCCGGGCAGGAAGGTGGCGGCTGCAGCCTTGTGGGTGGTGTTGGTGGTGCTGGGGGGGGGGGTGTGATGTGTGGCCCTTGGGGGGGTACATGGCCCTGGGGAGGGGTTTGTGGCTTAGGGAGGGGTGTAGGTACCCCTGGGGGTAGTATGTGACTGTGAGGAGGGAGTGTAAGTGGCCCTGAGGGGGTACTGGCCCTGAGGAAGGGGTGTGCAGCCTTGGTGGGAGTGGAAGTGGCCCTGAGGAAGGGACCTGTGTGGTCCCAGGGAGGGATTGCTGGGGTGTGAATGGCCCTGGCATGATGGGGGTGTTCTGCGAAGTAGGGGGGAAAGCGAGGGGGAATGTCCTGGAGGGGAGGGGAAGGCCTGTGTGCCTCTCAAGAGTTGGGGTGCAGAGGGGGCTGCCTGTAGTCCTGCCCTGGGGAACTGGAGGTGTGTGCTGTTGTGGAGGGTGTCTGTGCAAAAGTGGTTTGAAGGGGCTTTCTGCCTTCATTGTTCTACCACTTGCAGCTGAACAAGTGCCTTAATGTCTCTCCCCTGCCCCACAGGTACTGGAGCAGCTCCAGCCTGGGGCACTGGGCACTATGCTGGTAGCTGAATTGAAAACAGAAAAGGGGGCAGAGAAGAAATATATAATAAAGCAGGTGAGAAGGTGGTTGCTAGGAAAACAAGAGTTCATTGGCATGTTTGTCATCTCCATGGGCCCTTCTGATAGCAACGGAGACATGTTAGGCAGCTTGGCTGCTGGGTAAGAGTAGGCTTACATCTTAGTGTGCTGCTGTTTTGCAATTTGGAAGATTCAGATCAGTTTACTGGACTATTGAGGTTAAAAGTGGGGAAAAGGGGAGCAGCCTATTTAGGTCTAGCTGGTGTGTTTTCGCCTTAGCTTACTGATACTTTTGACAATGCAGGAGAAGGACTGGCTAGCTGTTGCAGACTCATGTAAAGCTCTGTTTCTGGCTGTCTCCCAACAGCAAGATTGCTCCAAACATTAGAGACTGGAGCTATCATTGAAAATTTATGCCAATTCATACACAATTTGCAGTTCCAGTCAGCTTGGCAAGAGGGTTCTGGCTTGAAGTTTGCCTGTCTATATTACAATCTCATCCTTGTCTTTTGTTTGGTGCAGGTTGAGTGCATTGAAGAAAAGCAAGCGAATGAGGCCTTGAAGGAGGTATCAGTGCCGGTTTTCTTTACTACTTCGCTTACAAAGACCAAAGTCTTAACAGAACAAAGCCTTTTATTTACAAGGTCTAACTAAGTAAATAGTCAAGATGTAAATGAGGTAGGACTATCTGAGGGGTGTTCTCCCTGCCCTCTGCTTGAGCTCAGGCCAGGATTTTGTATTAATTGTTCTTATATTTGAATAGGTAGGCTCAAATGGACAGCTGTTCTCAGAGGATAGTCTTTTTTCAGAGTTTGTATTTGTTTTGTGCTGAAGACAAAGAAAAAAAGCTCATCCTTTTGGCCTTTAAGCTGAAGGAGAATCTTGGTCTGTTTATAGTTTATTATTAGTAACTCAACTTCTAGTTAACATATTTCATTATAAGTTAATTTTTCAGATGTGGATGTTTTTTGATGTGAATGATTTGATTGGTTTTCTTCCTTTGTTGTACTTTTTTTTGGTGCAAACTTGTTTCAATGCCTTAAGTAAGAAGCAACATCAGAAATACTATTAAACCACCAAAATTCATTTCAACAAAATATGTGAAGTAGCACATGATGGATTATTCTCAGTGTCCAGTATATGTGACCTCTGCAGTTGTAAATGAGTGAGAATACATGTCTGTGCAGGTGCTTCATCCCACTCAAGAGAGGTGACCTCTTTATGTATTGATACTGACTTTACTGATAAAGTTTCATTAAATTCTTCTGCTGATGTATGTGTCTATTGAAATAAATGCAGTTGTGCCAGGTGGAACTGTGGTTCTTCTTAGTTTTTCTGTAGTGTCTGCACAGCCACAAACACAGCTATAGGAGAGTAAGTTGAATTCTTTTTACCTTTCGTGTCATCAGCAAATTTGCTGAAGTAATTGGTAGAGCTCTTCATGAAACCAGCTTCAGGGAGATAAGCATCTCACTAGTGTCATGTTTTCTGAGGTTCAAGCTTGCATAGGGGTTACTAGAAATAATGGCTAGAAAGATCATCTTGACTTTCATATTCTAGGATGTGTTTTCAAGTTTGGATGTTAGGGACTGAAGAAGAGCGTTGTTTACATATCATCTCCCTAAGGATCAGTTTATATCCTTGAATCTCACATGGCTGTTACAGCATTACATTAAGTAGAGTCTTAGTGAAATTTTCCTTAACTTGACATTTGTGCATGTGAATATATAACAGAGCTTGCACACTGAAAGGATTTGATCAGACACGCAACATGAACAAGTCAGGAACTGGCTTAGGATATTATTTAAGCTCTTGCTAATGGGAAGGACTGTGTAGCTCTAGAAGGCTCTATTTTTTTTTATTCTATGCAGGCAATGGATTTGCTAAAACTTCATCATTCAAACATCTGTGCTTACAAGGAATTGTTTGTGACTTGGGATAATGAGGTGAGAATGAAATAGGATTGGTTAAACCATAACACCTGGTTAACGCTGTGGGTGTGTAAGTGTTTTTTGCAGGTTTAAATTTGGGGTCATTGGTGTGAGATGCTAAAAAAAGGTTATTTGATTTGAAACAAGCCTGCTCTTTTAACTCCTGAATAAACATGCTGAAAAGCTGTGAAGATACATGGACTGAGGGCTGTCACATGGCAGGATTGCACGCTGACACATGGGTTCTGATGTGAATCAGTGTGCAATACTGATTTTCATGCCTGCATGAAAACCCTTTTACAGGAGACTGAACGCCCAGACTTATTTATTTGCAGATTTTATTCAGTGCTCAGCCAAAATTTGTGTTGATTTTGTGGATGTATATTTGACTTGAATTGTCCCATATGGCTTCAGATAAGATGCTGGATTTTTTTTTAAAAAAAAAAACCCAGCCATGCTGTATTTTTAATTAAAGGAAGTAAATACCGTCTCCTCTGTGAGATTAATCCTCTCAGAACACCTTGGTATTGGTGAACATCACACCCACCAGTTTGGCCAAGTGCTTGGTTTTGTCTTTCTTACTGGACATGCTATTGCTTGCAAACAATTAGACAATTTTGGTGTAATGTTTTATTACAGATATCGTCTCTGTTCCTTTGTCTGGTAATGCAGCACTTGGGCCAAGGAGATCTCTCATCACTAATCAAGGAAAAAAGGCAGAAATCAGAAAAAATAACAGACATGGTAAAAAGCACAGAAGAGGCATCTGGTTGAACTGACAGTGTCTCACTGCTTTTATATTTCTTCCTTTGTATTCACTCTTTCTCAAAGTCCTCCCTAAAATCTTCAAAGCACAGTGTTTTGCTGAAAGGTGGTTTGGAAGCTATCTTCCAAAAGATATTTGGAAGTTATCTTGTTTGTTACACTTTCATGTATATTCCCCTCAACAGATGATTCTGAAGTTCCTGGGACAGATGGTGGATGCTTTGCTTTATATACATAAACAAAATATTTTCCACAGGTGAGTAGGAATCTTATTCTTTGTCCAGTAGGTCATTGTTCTCTGCAGTGACTGTTGGTTCAGCACAGCTGCTCAGAGGCAGTGAATTTTCCTGTTCCAAAAGGGGGAATAGCAGCTAGAAATTCTGGACATCATATATAGATTGGTTTTCTGTGACATCTGTCTCTTGAGTTTTGTCCAGTATTATCCATTCGAATGAGGTGTTCTTTCTGGTTTTTTTGAATGGGCTAAAATTCTAATATTTTAATATTAGAATATTGACCATCTCTGCTTACATTTTGGTGGCTGTGATGGACAAGGTATACTTTGTGTATCTAAAGTAAAAGACAACCATCGCGTTCCACATTCAGATAACTTTGTATCACAATCACAAATTTTAAAGCATTTCACAGTAAAAGATGATGATGATAGCATTTCAGCTGATTATCAGTTTAATATTAAAAAACCCCAAACCCACAAACAAAATAACCCCTGAACCCCTTACCACCACCCCAGCTACCTTCCCCAAAAAAACCCAAACCTTCTGATGTGTAAAGATGCTGGGAACCTGTGGTTATGTATCATTAGACTCTTGATTTCACAGGCTGACAGAAAATATTTGTGTTGCAGAAATCTCAAGCCATCAAACATACTTGTGACTGGTGAAGCATCCTTCATGCTTAGCGACTTCAGTACAGAAACACTTATGACAGATGAGATGAAATGGAAAATAAGAGTGGAAGAAAGTAGATATTTGTTTTACTTTATTTTTAAAAGATTCGGTCATGGTGGATATTTTTAGTCCTTAGAGAAAAATCAGCCAAAGAGGAAAAAATTATCTTCCCTCCCCCTTCTCTGCGTTGTACTATTTGTATTCTAAAGTATGAATAGGATATTCATAGGCAGTTGCCTGCAGCATTAATTCTGTTCACAATTGAAAACTATAGATAGGTCTGAGTCTCAGAACTCTGCAACAGATGCAGTTGGGATCCTGTTTAGCTTCATACATGTGCAGTAACATCTTAGAAAATCATTTATTAGTTACAGTGTGTTTCTTAGTCTTTTGTGGCATATCTCCAGTAAAAAATGTCTAGTATCTGCAGAATATCTCTACTTTTAGACATAAAATGATTGCCTTCAGCTCATGCATGTGCAAGCAAAACCTGTGTACAGTACAAGGTCAGCAACATTACCGTATGATTCTTATTTCAACAGATAGCAAGTCTTGGATGGCTCCAGAGACGTTTGTTTTTAGTTTTACTGAGAAATCTGACATCTGGTCTCTAGGTTGTGTTCTACTTGACATGACGACCTGCTTTGTTCTGAATGTATGTAATGATGTTTCATTATAGATTTAAAATGTCACGGGCTCGCCAGGTTATCTGTAAACGAGTGTGTGAAAGCTCTTCTGACACCACGCTCTTTGCAGGCAGAAGAGATAACTTCATTACTGCAGGATATTAGACAGGATACCAGCCGTCTTGAGGGAGCCTGGACTCTAATGCAAAACGGAGAGAACTGCTCTTTGCCTTTATTTCCAGTCTTATTTATGATGCTACAGATTCAGCCCAGCATGAGACCCACAGCAAAGTGAGTTCTGGATGCTCTCCCTTTATTTTTTTGTCCCGCACCCCTCCTACCTTCACAAAGGTGGGCAAGTTAGCTACTGGTGAAAGAGATTGAGTCAAGGTTGCTGATCTTACTGCCTCAACAAACTGCGTTATTAAAGAAGTCAAAGACTTGGGGTTCATTCAGAAGTGGGCATTCTGATGCACAGGTGCCCTTTTTTTAGTGTCACATGATAAAACCAGGTAATACACGATTTTACAAGCCACTAACCTGAAGCCTAAGCATGTCTCAATGCAAGCTCTTTCATTAGCTGTTTTGATTAAATGGTTTAAGTTCTGTCAAAAATAATCCAGTCTTTAATAATACTTTGATTAGCTTTTTATATAAAAATGAAACAAAGCCTATAGATTATTTTTTTTCTTTTAAAATTTACCTGTTCTAACTTATTGGTATTGCTTTTGTCTCTTGTAATCCTAGGGATCTGACTGATGTTCCATTTGTTAGGGAATGCCTGACGGTTGCTGGTGCCTCTTCAGTAAAACTGCAAAAGTCTTTGCCTCCCAAAATAATAGATGTGCTCCTTGAGGGAGGAATCGAAAGTGTTCTGGGTAATAAGGAAAATAATGTAATGATGGTTTTCACAGGAAATAAACCCTTGTGTTTTCCAGGCAACATGTATTCTACTTGGAAATGAATTATTTGACATTTGTTTTACTTGAAATAAAGTGGGAAGCTCTTTGGAGGAAGGGTCACTGTACAGCCTTTTCTATAACCTTGTAAGATCACCAGGTATACCTACTGCATGAATTAAATGGGGTCAGAGGTCATTCCTCAGAAAATTGTGGAGCCACACTTTGTTTTGGCTGCCTTCTGTTTGCCAATTTATGCCAGCGAAGGAGCTGCTCTATTTTCCTTCTAAGGAAGATATTATCTTAATCTGCAGAGGCTATTGGAATAATGCATTTAAAGCCCCTATTCATGCTCTGATTTAATATTCCAACAGGTCCCCATAATATATAATGCCAAATACACAGATTATACAGGTAAATCATAACACTTCATAATATTTATATATTTGATGCTTTAAGGGAAAAGTTTTTCACTTTTCAACAGTCACGTTATTTTTATTTATATGAATTCACATCTTGCACAAAATAGAGGAAAATTTGAGTGTTTTTTATCAGTGTTTGTATCAAATGATTAGAAGAATTTTCTTGGTTTATGTAGATTTCATGCAGGCTTTCTGGGATATAGAAGAAGCACAGGCTAAAGCTATTCAGCACCTTGCCAGCTTTGTAAGAGATAAAAGTGGTAAGGCACTATTTTATTAACTTATTTATTCTGCTCTTTCCTTACATTTTGAGATAATAGGAAAAGGAAAATATTTCTCATGACAATAAATGAGAATGAAATTTCTCTCTTCGTATTTCTCATTTTTGGAACGTACTGGAATAGGCCACTGCTCGATGTGATTGTGTTGGTACTTGTTTTGTAAATGCTTTTGTTGAACAGCAGAAGTGTTTTACTGGATAAGAAAAATGGACACTGGAAGAAAACTCAGTGATATTTTAATTGGCAACCAAGGTGAATTGGCAAACTGACATTTGAGGAAATAATGCACGTCTGACTTGTTGGGCACTTCTGCACCATGGCTTGCTGTGACTGATGCTCACGTATTTGAAGATGCTTCAAAAATGGATCCCTAAAAACCATCCAGTTTTTCCTAACATTTTGTCATGTATTTGTGGATTCACTGAAGGGCTGTATTAGCTGTTCCAAAAGCTCAAAGTCTTCCTAGAACTAGGAGACCCGGTGAAAGACTTTCTTCCACAGGTTCTGAAAAGCACAGTTTTGGGCTCATGCACCGTGTTCTACCCCACAACTCACTACATGACCGGTGGACAATGCCAGTGTGACTTAATGAGGAACGTGCTGGTTACACTCAGCTTGCATAGCCTTGCAGCTGTCTTTAATAAGAGACATTCCCCACAGAGACTACAAAATTCACTCTGTATTGTTCCATCCATACTTACATTTTGTTCTCTTTGATTCAAGAACGTTGTTCTGCCACATCCCATAGTCCATAGGCACTCACATTTATTGAAACTGGAACTCTTGTGTTTTGGAGCATAGATAGTTACACAGCTTAGAACGCTCAGGGGGTGAGTGTTGTCTCAACTGATTTCTTTTCCCTGCAGCCTTGCCCTGTCTGCTGACGTTAGCAGAATTGATCACTGGTGCCATGAAGACTCACGTAGATTCGCTCCAGTTACAAGTAGATGGTTGCAGTTTATTGCTTGAAATTCTTAGTCAAGGTACAGTCATGAGACTTCCAGCTTACATTGGGTGTATCTTGTAAAGTTAGATGTGGCAGATAAGGTTTGAAACGGGTTCAGCAATGATTTTAGGGGATAAATTTAAAGTAATAGAGGAATTTAACTAGCTCTAATAAGAGTCTGGATTCTCCTGGACTTTTTTCAGGACTGGCATATATGAATTCTGTGTTAGTATTAATTTTAAATACAAGCTCCTGATTGTAGGTTACCAAGTTTTTCATATTATGTGGAGCGTTACTAGAGTGCATAAATAAGAGACTCTCAGTGTTCTGGTATTTGAATTTCAAACCATAAAAGCATTTTTGGTCTCTTGTGTGGTCTCTGTTCTTGGCGATTTACCCCAATGACGCCTGATAATGATACAAGCTTGAAAATAGTAAGAACTGTGTTTCAGAAAAAGAACATTTAAAGTGACTTTTGGATGTGCTATGTGAAGAAATGCTGTTAATTGAATGTTTTAGTTATGCTGACAGCAGGGGGTTCAGACTTCATTCAAAGCCACTGAAATCTTTGTTCTGCTCAAATGTTTGCTTTTGACAGCTCTAGAACAGGAGGTGATGGTGGCCCTGGATGAGAACGTGACCAGCTCTCTCTTAGACACAGTGAGAAAACACTCTGAAAATGAAGAGTTACTTTCATTGGTCTGCACGTTATTGATGATGATTTCAGCCAGTGGTGGGTCACCTTGTCCTTTTTTGGGGGAATATTCTTATGTTTCTACTTTCATAATGTAATCCAAGATGTAATGCAGAACTCGTGACTTCACTGAGAGATGCTAATGTCTGCAGGTATTAGTTTAATAGTCGTAATATTGGTAAGATTGAGTGCATATTGGTAAGATAACGCTCCTGGAAGTGTGAGAAGGACCGCTGAGGTTTCAGGTACTTACAGAATTGTATCTATTAGAGTGATCCTGTATTTCATCCTGTTTTGGAAGCAAGTACAAACTGTGCAAATAGTAGTGCTTGGGAAAATGAGGGCATAGAACCTGGATTCTATTTTTGGCTGTGCCATGGTGAATTGAAACCATTCTACCTAATTTCTCTATTTTGCTTTGTCTCCTGAGATTGTAGTTGCTTAATATTTATAGTATTTTTCACTTGTTTTCAGTGTCAGTTCAACAGTCCTCAGAAGACTCTTTACAAATGATTACAGAAGGATTTAGCAGCAACGGGATAATCTTAAAAAAAGTCACGTACAAATAAACTTACCATCTAAGACCAAACTATTTTTATACAGTGTTTCCTAATTCTGAAGCTCAGATAGCTTGAACTGCTAAATTGCAAACATTTGAAAAATAGTAATTTATACCCTCTCAGTTCCTTTTCTGCTCTGTAAATTTCAGATCTGTAAGGAAAAAGGATGGCCAAACATCCATTTGAAAGGTTCACTTGTGCTAAACACTGTGCTTAAGTGCATCTTGCTAAAGAATTCAGTCTGTTCTCCTGCTTTCTTTTGTCCAGCTGATGGTATCATGTTACTGGTTTATCACTGTTCAAATATGGTTAGTGGTGCTGTCTGTTGCACGGACAGCGAGTGGGACAAAAATACCAACTTCTATAGAATTTCTGTGTTTTTCAGAAGTTGCTGCAGAGAATCTAAGGAAAGTTGGAGTAATTCCAGACCTTCTGTCAATTTTAAGAAAATTTCTTCATAATGAAAAGATCTGCCTCTCTTGCTGTGGAGTCCTCTGGAGCTTGGCTGTGAGTGGTAAGTAGAACACAGCAAGTATTGTGCCTAGCCTCATGTGACTGAAAGGCAGCAGGTATTGTGCCTAACTGAGTTCAGACATTCCTGTTGCTAGGGCTGGATTTTTCTTCTTTCTCCCATTCTGGAGAGATGTCTCCACAGCACTGCTAGAATAACTGTAAGTCATCCAGAGTTAAATGAGAGACAACTAAAAACTAATGCAGAATTTTTAGGAACCCTTTTTTTGTGGTAAGGTGTCAGTGTCAAGTTTTTACTGTTTAGGCCAAGATACAGCTTACGAACAGACTGTCAGAAGTGAAAGGGCACATGCAGTTTCTGGTTTGTCAGTTACGTGGCTTTGCTCTGCTCTTCGCAGAGGGAGTGCAGTGCAGACAGCATATTAGATTAGGTATCAGAATAGCATTTGGCATTAATAGCAACTTATTTCTTTGCATCTCACTTCTCTTGGCAGCACTGGACTAAATCTTGAGTTGGATGTCTCCTAGAGACTTGCTTTTCCAAAAGAAATGTGATTGGCAAGGTGGCAAGTGTACTTTTATCGTTGCCTTAGAACTACACCAGCATCATCCCACAGTGTTGGAGAGCCACGGGTGGTTGCTTGAGCTGACCCCTTCTTATGAGACCACACTGGGAATCATTCAGGGGATTTGTTTCTGTGACGTGTTCTTGTATAGGTGTGTGGTGTTCTAATCATCAGGGAGGGCTGGAAGCACAGAATGCACAATTGCACTTGCTGTGCTTTATTCCCTCTGTGCAACAAACCACCCATTTGATTTATGTGACCAGCTAAATATCCATCCTGCAGACCGTATTCTGTCAAAAAGGTGGTTATTTTTGGAGGCTTCATGCTGTGATCCCCATGTATAATTTAAAAGGCAAAGAAAACTAGTTCCTGAAGAAGTTCAGCTGTCTGCCATAAATGTTACTATTAGTCCTGTAAAATTTGATTTGGTTCTGTGCATTTTAAATTCCTTCCCTCTGCTTTTGTTCAGGCTAAAATAGCATTGCATTGCTCTGATGCCATCACCCATTAAGGTTTTACTGATACAATTTGACATACAATGTGCTTATGTTATCACTTGATTCAATAACTCTGCTCGATGCATTTCCTTTTTGTCGTGATAATTCAGACAATAATGTAGACAAAGCATTGCTGAAAAGTGCCGTCCCCGTTACCTCTGCTGTCCTTCAAGAGCACCTCCAGAATGGAACAGTTACGGAGTCTGCTTGCTCTGCTCTGTGGGCGTTGTCGCTCCAAGGTGTGTTTTCCCAGTCTCCTTGTCCCTTGTGCACGGAAAAGGCACTAATGCCAAACACATCTGTCTGTCAGCGGTGATCCTCGAAATAGAGGCTGCTTGGCCCTAGCAGGCTCTGCAGATGGCAGCAGAGTTAGGAACTTGCAACCAGTCTTCCAGGCACTTGCTCTCTTAACGCTTCCTAATGAAGCTGGTTTTGGGGAGCCGTAGCGGTTTTATGTAACTGGTGCTGTGAAGACGGGCGGCTACAAGAACCCTGCGGTGCAGAGCATTCTCTCTGGCTTGTCTCTTAAGACCAAGAATCCCATTTGTGTTGCTGCTTTGAACACAGCATCACTGTTGTGCAGCATGGGCTGGGAGGTTGCTTTGTATGCCAATTGCTTTGTAAGTTGGGAACAGTATTTCAGATTAAAACATAAAACTGATATCTCTTTCATTATCGTGTGCACTAAGAAACACATCCTTGCAGTACTACTGTCTTATTTCTTCCTCATGCAAGAATATTGCCATGTGTTTACCTACTGCCCTGCGCTTATGCCATTGTTCTGTTAGGAAGAACCAAGTAAACCACTCTAAGCAGTCTTGTTTCTAGTACCTACCAGCAGAATAGGTCGAGTATTTGGGACTCTCCATTCCTCTTGGCTTGGAGAATGAAAGGGAATCATGACATAGAAGATGTATCAGAAATTTCTGAGACCCCTCAATCAACTCATGATAAGACTTCACTGGGCTTTTTTTTGCTGCAATGCAGGTTTTCACATGCTTTCTTCATAGCTTTTATCATGCCATTAAAAAGACGTTTCAGAAACGGGAGGCAGAAGTTGAAATGCTGATGAGTATTTTAAAGGCTTTTGAGTATATTCAAGTTTTGGGGGTTTGTGTGTTTTGTTTTGGTTTTTTAAAGGTTGCTTAACTGAAAATGAGTATGAGCCCGTAACAGCGCTTCTGCTGGATGCGCTCAGGATGAACCTGGAAAGACCACTGCTGGTGAAGAATGCCTGCCTGGCATTAGCAAGCCTTCTAAGGCTGTCTGGTAACATTCAGCAATTCTTTTTTATTAACTGCAAATCAGCTCAGAAGTGGATGTTTGTGTAGTTCAAGAGTTTGTAGTGGGATTGGGATTGACAATCCTGAGTTAATCTTTTCTTGCAGGACTGGAAGAGGAAGTAGTGAAACTGGAAGTGTGAATTTTTTTCCTTCCCATGGACCCAGCATGCATGTATGAAGTACTAGATCAGCACAATCTGATCTATTAGTAACTTGAGAGTGTTTTGTTACTTATTTTACCATGACGTTGCCTCGACTGCATAAAAGGGTAGAGCTCCATCAATGTGAAAATGATAAGCATTAATAAAATACCACTTCTGCCACGCATGACAGTCAGCTGCATATATGGTCTTCTCGTTGCCCAAACAGCCTTCAGAGTAGCTTTTGCATGACAGTCAGCTGCATATACGGTCTTCTCCTCGTTGCCCAAACAGCCTTCAGAGTAGCTTTTAGGAAGACTGAAATTAATGGGCATGACTTCCTGGAGAAATATTACACGTGTGCTAGCTGGAGCAGGGGGTTGGAAGGCGGATAATGCAGTCTGCAGCTCCCAATTAGCCCAGCAGTGTTTTGTCTCCCTTTCAGAAAGATCAGCTTTGAGATTTATAACGGATTCAAAAGGAATAAACCTGACCAAAGATGCCTACTGCCTTCACTTCGATGATCCAGGAGTGGTGAAAAGTATCTGTATGCTGATGAACGAGGTGGCTCAGTACGGTGAGATGGTGGTGGCATTTGTTGAGTCTCTTCCTCTCCCCGACTCCCAAAAGATAGTAAAGAAAATGGTACCAGCAGCTGCTCAGGGACCTGTTAGTTGCTCTCAGGAAAGACTCGTGGTGTATCTTGAGAAAGGAGGATGAATTGGAACTGAGAGTTCATACCCTTGTCCTTGAATAATTAGAAATCCATGCTGGTGTTGTATGTTGTAACTCCATCGTATCTTGCCTTCTCTTTGTGTAGAGCTGTCCCCTCTCTGCTCTCCTTTAGCTCTTGCTGAAGCTATTGGCAGTTGTAACCATAAATTATCCTGTTTGTTTACGTTACAGATGATGGTGTGCTGGATGTGCCGTCCCAGAAAATGGAAGAGCTGCTGTCTGAAATAAAAATCCGTTTTCCATCTAGCCTGGTATGTAGAAGTTGCTGTGATAATAAAGGGTGGATGTGTAGTATATTATTGCTGGTTATGGATTTTATAATTCTCAAATAGCTGGAATTATAGTGCAGAAATTTACAGAATTATGTGTATGGGGTGAAAAGTGAGTTTGTAAGAATAATTCTAACTACTGGAAACAAGTAGTTGGAAGTTTTTTTCTTTATGCTGTAATTTTTAAAAACTACGTACTGGTCTCTTGCAACACTGCATTAATTTACTACATTCTTTATACTAGAACAGGATGAAGTTTACATGACTAAAGCATATCACATTCAGTTATTTTGTTTTGTAAAGTATATTGCTTTACAAGTGACATCCTTAAAAAACCCCAACAAACACAACAAACCCTTGTGACAGTTTGCCTGAAGGTTTAACTTGCATTAAATTCCAACAAGTAGTCACACTGAAAAAACCCCAACACCCGAAACAGCAAAGTTACTCAAGCTATTTAACATGTTACGCTAATACTTCCTTTGCAGTGGCTTGCTGTCAAGAAACCGGTAATTACAAGTTTTTTTTCATAAAGCCAATAAAACTCGTTAGTCTTGTAACTTTGCTCTTTAGTTATGCATTTGGCCTGCTTACAGAAATGGTCTCAAAGACAGTTACACGCAAACTTGCTCTCCAGTGTCTCCTGCGGGCATTGCCTGCACCAACTCAATGGACGCTGCAGCTGTAAGGTAGTGCAGGAATAAAAAAAATCACAAAGGAGAAGAAAGCTCCCTCTTCTGTCGTAAACGTACTTTGTTGTTCCCTGCTGACAGCCCAGACAGGACCAGAACACTCTTGTTCTGGGAATAGAGTGTGAGACATGCAACTGCTACATCTCTGAAAGCCATTCTTGTTACCTTCCAGTATCCACTGAGATTATTTAAACTGCAGCATTACTATTCAGTCTGGTAATGACAGTTGCTTTGGACTTTGCAGAATCAGACCCCAGATATGTTGAAAACAGCACTCGCTTTACAGGCCTGTCAGACACAGTGTTTTTATTAATAAAGGAATACAAAAATAAGTGAAGCAACAAGGTAATCTTACATTTGACAATTCTCACATTTCTCTCAGGAGATAATGACCCTTGTGGATTCAACGCTTTTGAAACTGCATAAGTAAAAGAAAAACTTCTTGTACAAGAACAAGACTTGTGCACTTCTGGTTCAGATCCTTGGACCTTCCAGAAATATTTTAAGGTTGGATACTTCAGAAATATTTTAAAAGACTTTTCTCACCAGAAAAATTAATATTGGGCCATTAATAATATAGAAACAGTTATATGTTCTGTTGATTCAAGCATCACAACTGTAAGACTAACAGCAATAATTAAGAATTCACCTTACTTTGTAGACTTTAAAATATCTGAAATAAACATTTTTAGTTGGGAGTTTCAGCAAAGCAGTGACAGTTTCTTCCTTCATCTATTGTAATTTAAAACCACTTTTTTTAAAACCTTAGTGTGTATTTCTTTTGCAGAAATTGAGCTGATGAAGTACTTCACAAATGCAGGCATTTGTTACAAGTAATGTTTAGACACAGTAGCAGGCATTAGGGATAGGTACCATCCAGAAAGGGGATACTAGCAGTATTCTTGATGGCAGTGTCCGTGTACCAGGTTAGGGAGTGTTGTCTTTTGATGGATTTTATGAAGTAGCTGCTGTCAGTTCTGAGTTACTTTCAAATTTGCCCTGGAATGTGACATGAAACCAGCTGCAGATAAAAACCATTCAAGTTTTACAGTTTTTGTTGTTAGATTTGTTCTTAACAGCAGCTTCCCATTTCTTTTTCTCCAAGGTGTACAGTCTCATAGCTGCTTGTGCATCCTGAATCTAGAAGAGAGCAAACAGGAGGTTTAATGAAACAGAGCGGACATGGTTTAAGAACGTTACTGTTAATAAGCAGCTAAATCTTCCATCATTTTAATACATCCTTTCAAGTAATGTTTCACAATTTCTTTCTAGATTTAGGTTCTGTGACTAGTGGAAGGGGATGAGTATGTACTCAGAACGCATGGCCCACCACAAGGCTGTGCACTTCTTTTATCATGACTTGGAAAGCCATAACGATAAAATACTTGTGATACAGTATCTTGGAGATACCCTCACAATTTCCCCTGCTTCTTCAGTTCATTCCTCTATTATATCCTCCTGTCCACTGAAAGAAAGGAACCAACTGCTGAGATCCAGTAGTAGGCTCTCTCACTGTTTTATCCAACCTGCCACAGTTCAACAGTGCAGACTGCTGCTTTTAAGGTAAGCAGTTGATACCCGAGAATGAATTATTTTTCCCTGGGGATCTTAAAATAACAAGAATTAACATGTAAAGAAAATACAGTTGACTTGTGCAAAAAAAGTTTATGAAAACAAGGAAATAAACCAAGTGGTATGAGCCACGTAACAGTAAGCAAGCTTAGATGGCAATCCTACTGCGTGCTGGCGTCCAAGCAGAGCTTGCTAACTTTCATCAAGAGGCTAGAACGAAGCCACAGCATTCTGGATTGAACCTGGATCCTACAGCTAATGTGTAGTACTTTGTTGATCTACCCAAAAATGTGTGTTCTGATGAGATACGTACCGAGCAGTGCTCTGATGTCTGCACTTGAACGCTGAGCAGTCGCTCACAGAGCAGTTTCAATGATGGCCGTGCAGTCTAGAAACAGAAAAGACAGAATCAAGTTGCCTTGAACTACCTGAAATAGATATAGAGAGGTGTGTGTGTATATATATATAAAAATATTAGCTTAAGTGTATTCCTCAAAGTACATCACATCTCAGCTTCTACTGGTGAACTGTCAAGAATAATTAATGAATTATGAGATTTATGTGTACTGCTGAGAGGATTTTGTGTACTACCATAACCCTAAGATTTATGTTTGGGGTGCTTTGTTGTGAAAAAGAAAACCCGAGTATATAGCTATGGAATTGAAAATATCTCCCTATAATCTGAACATTTACTTCTGCAGTCTAAGCAGAAACTTGAAGCCATCTATTTTTTTATATCCCTTTGGAAATGATACCATTAAGAAAATTGCATAAGCCTTACTGGAAGTATAACTGCCCCATCTTATTTTGCTATCCAGAAAAGCACTATGAAGACCATGCAAATCCTAAGGAATAGGACAGCCACTGAATTTTGTGCACAGGTAATGTTTGTACTGAACTTACTGATCTATTTCAAACAGTAAGCGCTCACCTAGACTAGTATTTTCAAGTGATGAAAAGCAGGGATCCTTGTTCAAGGCAGGAAGGAACAGGGTCAGGCAGGGGCAAGTGTCGGAGTGAGCCAGCAGCTGGGAGTCAGCAGCTCCAGCCAGTTAACTGAGGTGCACCTTCCCATCAGTGTCTTACCTTGACTCTCTGTCTGAAAGGCTTGTATCTTTGTGTGTCGCGTATCTTCTTCTGAGGATGATCAAGAAATAGGACCTAGAAGAAATTACATTTCCAATTCAAAGCATGCTGTTGCATGGGAATGTATACAGCTGAATTATAAATTTCCTGAATTCCTGAAGTGAAAGAAAGAGCTTCCTGCTCTTTCCTTCCAGCTGTTGTAAGAGAGAGTTCAAAACCATAAATGGAGAAGACCCAGATCATCCAGATGCTGGCTGGGTTCAAGAACCGCAGTTCTGTTTAGTATGGGAAACAGAAAAGGATCATGGAGAATACCTGCAGTGCTGGTACAGCGTGACGTAAGTTACCTGGCTCTGGTACCGATGACCAGACTGCTGAGCTTTGGGGACTAAGCAAAGCATGCAAACAGCTTTTCCAGTTTCTTTCCTGGCTCTTTAGTCGGCAAATCAGTGCTATCAGTAACAGAGTTTGGAAGCTGAAGAACTCTAGTGGGCAAGTGACTACAGCTGTACTTGGTACACATGAAATGGCAAACCGAGCTAACAGCGATAAAGCTGTAGTTTCTAGGAGTTCAGCTGATGCAGAAAGATGTATCAAATTTCATCCATCTTAAATTTTTGGAGCCTTGTCTTCAAAATAACAGATCTGCAGCCATGTACCTTTAGATCATTGCGTAAAGCATGTCCAACTAAAATCCTTCCATTCAAGATGTCAGCAACCTCCTTCTGAACTGTTTTAAAGTCTTCACCTAAAAAGACCACACGAGGAAATGCTTTCCATTAGATACATATGACAACTAAGCCAACTACAGTTAAAACACCGCATCTTTTTTTGTGAAGGCAATCGTATCCTTGGGACTGTAGTGACACAAACTTGTACGGTACACGAAATCCTCTGCTTGTTACAGGCACAGAGAATTCCATTATGAGTGTAGCACTAAAAGGAAATAAACTTCCTATCACTCCCATTCCATAATCCACAAGTTAGTTTCTTCTAGGGTATTAGTGACAATAAAAAAGTCACTAAAAATGACTAAAAGTCATTAAAAAGTCTAGGGCATTAAAAAGTACTTCTTCCCACAATTTTTCTTAGCATTCAGACTGTATTGTTTTTAATTTTCCAAAATTAAAACTTTTCCAAGCTCAAGCAACAAGGCTTCTGTGATAGCCTGTTAAATTTTGCCTCCTTAAGGAACACTTTAGGGGGAAAAATCCCTCCTACCTGTATTTATATTCTCAGGGCGTATGCCACTAACAGCTGTTCTGTAATCAGTCACCTCTTCTGTAGGCTTGACATACTTGTCATAAATGCACTTTCCAAACTGGTTCACAATGGACACACGAGCCACAATACTGTCTTCCCCCTTGGGTCCCACTCCAACCATCTCACAGTCCATGGCTACAGCTCGTGTCAGCCTAAAAGACAAAGGACAGCTTGGTGACACCTCTGTTACTGGGACCCCACGGTGGAGTTCACGAGGTTCACGCATTGATATAAACAGGGAAAACTCGGCAGTTTTTCTGCCACCAGACTCGGGGAGATGTCAGCTTACGCTGTGCACCTGCAAATCACAGTTATTAGAAGATAATCTTGATGCTTCTGCTGCCATCCTTCCCGCTGGAATGCCACTCACCCTTCAGAAGCATTTTCTTTAACCAGCACCTGCTCCACAGACTGTTTGGATGGGCTTGCTTCAAGCCCCAGATTTCTTCTGGCAATTTTTGCTGCTTCAGGTCCTATTGCTGCTTCAATATCTTTTGGATCAACGTCATCGAACCAGATTTCAGCCCTGGTAAGTACAGATTTAATTACGTTTAATAGTCTTAAAGCAGTTGTGCATCTTTATAGGGTAGAAAAAGCATATTTATTTTTTAAATCAAGAAATAAGCTCTATGAAAATTAGTCTAGTACCCATGCACAGTCTGTCACCCATGCACATTCATTGTTATATCTGAGAAGCATGGGCAGCACGTGTCTTATTTCTCCCAAAATTTAGTCTGGAAGAGTGCAGCTGTTTTGAATCTACTGCTCTGTACCCCTCGTGTACACCTCCCAAAACACTCATGTACCTGTGCAATGCCTGTAGTACTTACTCTTTGGGTTGCTGCTCTGCATGTTTTTCAGCTTTCCTTCTCTTATGTTTTATATCACCTTTCTCCTTTGAAATATTGCCATTCTCCTTTTTTTCTTTGCAGCCTTTTCCATCACTTTTGGTGCCATTTAAATTCTTATCCATTCCAACCCTCTTGGATTTTGCCTTAGCCAAAGGAGGATGGTCTTTAGCAGAACCAGTGTCTATTTTATTTGCAGATTTAGCCTTTATGACGTTCCCATTCCCATTCATAGCTGGGACTTCTTGGCTATTTCCCACTTTGAGCGGATGCTTCTTTTTGGTGTCTGTTTGACATGTAGAGCGGGACTCGTTGGAGCTATCTGCCTTTTGTTTCAGTAGCTAAAACGACAAAAAAAAAAAAAGGGGGGGAAAAAAGGATTATCTCCCTCTGCTTCTGACCCCTCCATCGTTCCGAGGGCTCATGGCGCTCTGCCTCAGTGCCAAGCGGCCCCGCACTCTCTCTAGCTGGCTTAGGGGAATTACCTGCCACGGGACGTCCCACATCCCTGCCCGCAGCACTGTAGTTATTGACCTAAAAATCATTATTTTATGTTTTCCCATTCCTACATACAACGTGGGACTGCATTCAGGGAGCAGGGCCCCGGCCGGCTTCCCCACCCCAGAGCCCCGGGGCATGCCTCCGGCTCGCCCC